GTACAGAAAAGGCATCCATTAAAAATGCTCATTTTATTTTTACACTGACAAAAACAATACTATAAATATTTCTTTTTTTTAATAGAAATTAGCAGTATAAAAAGTACTTCACCAACTTTGAAGCTAAAAACTGGCAAAACCAGCAACCGATTTCGTTAATGTTACATCTTACAAAATGCCCAATAAAGTAAAAAAGTGCTTTTCACTCGCCTTTCCCTTCCCTTCCCCTCCCCCCCCCCTTCCTCCCAGCTTCGTCCCTTCCCCTTCCCTCTCCCCTCAGTAAAGACAAAGAGAGAAATCAACTTAACACAAAAATTTTTTATCATTAAGTTTCATTTACTCAAAGTGGTAAATAAAATTGAATTACAGAAAAAAAAAAAAAAGTGTAATACATTTGACTGTATTTTAATTATTATTTTTTTTTTGTAATTTTTGACAACATTAAATAAGTAACATTAAATAAAATAATTATCTTACGTTAAAATATAACCAAAAAGAAAATAAATTTTTCTGTCATTTTTGACTGTACAGTTGGAACAGCCACTGCAATATATAAAAATTTTTTACCCAGCCATTCTTAGTCAATTCTCATAAACGTCTAAAAAAAGTGAATTTTCCACTAACAACTTTTCATAACGCACAGAGGACTGCATAAAAATGGTATAATAAACACTTTATATTACTATATTCTAGAAGCTAATTTTTTTTTGAAATTAAAGCAAAGCTTGACTCAAAAAAATTCATTGCTTCAAAACCTGAGTACCAATAGTCTGATTTAAAATGTGCTTTAAAACGGCATGAAATAACAGGAGGAACAATTGAAAATGTTTACATTACACTTAAACAAAATTAAAAAGCTTTGAAATTGTTGAATAAATGTCGGAAGATAACAACTGTAACAGAGATGACGTTTATATAATAACTGGAGAACAAGGAATATTTTCAAGTTTAAAACTACTTTTGTTTTACATTTTTTTAGAAGACCTGATAAAGAATTCTTTTTAGAATGAAAAAAAGAATAAAGGTTTAATAGCCAAAAAAAAGAATTTTTTAATTAATCATAAGTTTTTACTTGAACGTACCTACAGAAGTTTCTAGTGCTAATGAAAACACAATAAAAATTTGATCGCAATCTTTGTCTTTTTTATATTTTAATTAAAAATAAATTTTATTAAATAAATTTTTTGCCTTTTTAATCTGTTTTTCACCTATAACTTCAGCAAAATTAAAAATTTTTTATTCACTGCTTTATTCATATAAAAGAATATTTAAAACAATTAGGTATAAACATTAGAATGAATACTCTTTTACTAACACTGGTCAGTTGTCATCACCACTGATGTTCAAACTGTCTTATTACAAAAACAGGTAAAAACTTACTGTGGTTGAACACTGATGTGAGCGTAACAAATAATTTTGCAGCAGTAACTTTAAAGAATCTAGATAGAAAAGATTAAAAAAAAAAAAAAACGAATGATTCAAGCGGCTACGGTACACAGCCATTTTTGATAATAATTTTAAATCCTTAAAACAGTACCACTAAGTAAGTTTATTGAACTAAAAATTAGTAAAATTCCAGAAATATTTTACCGAAACTATGATCCAAAACTACTTCTGCTGATACCCTTCCTGGCCGCTTCTAAACTTTGTCTTAAAATGAACACCTCCAAATTACTGGAGACATTTGCCTATCTTTTTTTTTTTTTTTTTTTTT